AATAGCAAAGAAACAGTTGACCGGGCGGAAAAGAAATATCTGTCTGAATGCCATATGGCCACGTCTTAAAAATAATAAAATATTAGTTATATATTATGTTACGATAACTATAACAAATAAAATATATTTTCTTGACCGGGCAGAAGAAGTTCTGTGTGAATGCTATTAGGCCGGGTCTTAAAAATGAACAAATAATAAAAAATTATATTGTTGTAGACAGTTATAGTAAATAGCTGTAGAAACAAACGAACTTATCTATAAGTAAAATATAGATAATTTATACTCGTTTGGACCATAACATGGTATTAAGGTGCTGTGTATGTCCCTATTATAATTTGTTTCAGAAGCAAACCTTTAGACAATGGAAAGAAGGCGACGAAGACGTCTCAAAGGTCAGGATGGTCGATTGAAAATTAGAATTTATTAGAGGCAGTAGTATAGGCATCGTTTATCTTTCTTATTTGTGTTCATATTTATATCATACTTATTATTCGTTATTAAAATATGATTAATTAAAATAATTAAATAATTAGTTAAAGTATAAGTGTATTTAAAAGTGTTGGTTTGAATAGTTATTTAAGTATTCGAATTTAGAGTATGAGATCACGGTAATGTCGTGAGTCAGTTCAAATATTTCTTTGTTCCTTTGTTATCGTGTATTCCGCATCTACCTGAGTGCCTTGCGTAAGGGGTCACCTTGACGGGACGAAATGAATCAGTATTAATAAAGTAGTGAACGAGAGAAGATGTTGTTTTATTTTGAAACTGAATAATCAATATAATAGAGCTCCGTTACAATTTATTGTTTTGTCGTCAGGGTGGGGTCGAATTACGGTTGTGTATTCCTAAGAAACATACTGATTCTATCACAAAGTACTATCCGAACATTTGGGTCATTTTGGAGTATATAAAACTTGGTGTTCACTGTGTAGAGATTTTTGGTGGTCGGGTATGCACTCTAATGTCAAGAAAGTAGTAAAGGGTTGCGAACTTTATCAATCATGTAAAACTTCCATTTTACCTAAACCGCCTTTAGAGTCGATTGTTCCGGAAGGGCCAAATGATTTGGTGGCTATCGATTTTTATGGTCCGTTACCACGTTCAACCGGTGGTGTCTCTTATATTTTCGTCGCGGTTGACGTATTTTCTCAATATTTAGCATTGAAGCCAATTAAAAAAGCTACCGCCGCTGCCGCCTTAAATCGACTTAGGCAACATTATTTTTTACAAGTAGGTAAACCTAAAAGATTGCTATCTGATCAGGGTACACAATTTAAAGCTAGTGAAGTTGTGAGGTTCCTTCGAGTCTGGTTTTGATTTGGTTTTCCACATTGGTTTGTGACACCAGACTCGAGTGACCTCTTGGGAATGGATAGCATATTTTTTGTAAGCTGTTGGTCCTTGTACTTAGAGTGTGGTTAATAAACCAGTTTTCTTTTGGAATTTTAACATTTAATTCTTCCACCTTATCCCGAAACCACATTCCACGGAATTTTCCGCAACAATAGGTTATTTAAATCTTAATTATTGATATACTTATATTTTATTTTTAATTATAATTGGAAGAATATTAGTCCTTTTCATTTATATAACTAGTGTAGTATCTAATGAAAAATTCTCCCCTTCAATTAAATTATTTATATTTATTATTACACTAATAATATTTATATTTTTAAATTTACATTTTTAATTGATCTCTTTTATCTTACTCTTAATAATAACTACATAAATTTAGAATATTATAATTTTAATCTATCTTTAAATAAATATTTTAATTTCCCTAATTTAATAATTATATTTATATTAATTATACAGGGTGAGTTTTTTTCCATGTTTAGTATGGACATCTCGAAAACTAGCGAAGATAGAGAGACGGTTAAATAGGGAAAGAATTGCACTATCATGAACTCAATTTAATGAGCTTTTTGTTTTTTGGATGAAATGCATGGCTAACTAGATATCTCGAAAAAACCATTTTTTATGACACAAACTTGTAATTTTTCTAATGGAAACCATAGTTGGCCATGACTTTATAAAAAAATGTCTTTTCTCAACGATTCTAATGATATACCACTTGACATAGATATTTTTATGAAAAAATAAATTATCGAAATTATCGAACTGGAGTGGGATTTGTTGACTCCGGTGCACAAGTCAGCGTCGCAGGATTCAAGCTGTACGAGGTTTTGCGAGATTCCGGAAGCATCTTTACCCAGAAGAAGATGAAGATCTCCCTAGCCGACGGAAAGGAAGATGTACAAGACGTGTTAGAAACGACGGTACATGTACAAATAGAAGATCATAAGTTCCAACAAAGATTTATCGTTCTACTAAACGCTACCAAGAATAAGACGTTGCTTGGAATAGATTTTATGGCAAAGGCAGGAATCGTTTTAGATATCCCCCAAGGGAAATGGTGGTTCCGCGAGAACGCGAGTACGGTCCGCCCATTTGCCAAGTATGTTCCTCAAATCATTCCTAGGGATAATCCTAAGGAGGACCGGGTCGATACAACCAATAATAGATGATGAGGGTACGCGTTTAAACCGAGATGAACGAAAACAACTTGATGCCGTCGTGCGAGAATTCAGAGATATCTTCGAACGAGGGGGAGAAGCGACTCCCTTTGCTGAGCACCGAATCGATACGAATGACAGCCCGCGTGCAGCAGTGCCTCCCTACAGGATGAGTCCCTTGAAGAAAGAAGTTCTACAGAGAGAATTAGAGAAGATGTTGGCCGATAATATAATCGAAGAGTGCGAGTCCCCTTGGGCCGCTCCAGTTGTACTCTACCCAAGAAGGGTGGTTTACAACGTGTTTGCATAGACTACCGAAAACTGAACGCGGTGACGGTTAGTGACAGCTACCCTCTTCCGCGTAGAGGATTTACTACATTTCGCTAAACGAACATTATTTATGACGACCATAGACCTACGATTGGGCTATTGGCAGGTGCGCGTACGGGAAGAAGACCGCGATAAGACTGCTTTCGTGACGCCTTTCGGTACCTACAGGTTCTTGAGAATGCCGTTCGGGCTTAAAAACGATGGCGCGACCTTCCAAAGACTAATCAACCGATTCCGAAGAGGTCTCAAAGACATCACAGTGTTATGTTACTTCGACGACATTATTGTTATATCCGAGACATTCCAAGAACACGTGATGCATCTACAGGCAGTGTTCGACAGAATGCGCAAATTTTCACTTCGCGCCAACCGCGAAAAGTGTTCGATAGTGCGCGAAACGGTAAACTTTCTTGAACATGTTCTGACCCGTGAAGGTATCTAGACCAATCAANTGAGGGCTATCGTCGACGCAGAGAATTTCGTCCCTCAGATGACCCCATACTTAAAAAAATTGGCCGGAGTTCTAGCGGAAGCTAGAGAAAAGAGTGAACACCAACAGGACCGCAGAAAGATTTACGCGGATGCTAAGCGTCGCCCAACCGTCTGTTACCAGGAAGGGGATTTAGTCATGGTGAGAACACATTTCCTTAGCAACGCTAAGTTAGGGACTAGCGCAAAGTTTGAGCCACGAAGGGATGGTCCTTATCGCATCCTGAGACGACACTCACCTACTAGTTACGAGGTAGCAACCGTGAATGATAACAAAAATCCGATGGGTCGTTATCACGTATCAGACTTGACTCCCTACGTTGAAGACAAAGAAGCCGAGGTACTACCCACTCCAGCACATCAATTGCGGAAAAGAAGACGGCCAAGGGGTAGCATCGTGAAGAAGGGTCCTGGTCCACCTTCGAGGACGAGCCGGCGGACCAGAGGGGGAGTCTGTAACGGACCGGATAAGCGGCGCATGCGCGATGACGCGTGTATCGATCGGTAGAGAACGGCCACGTGCTACAACCAGTAACCCCCGAGCCTTAGAGAGAAACACGTTGCACATAACGTAAAACCCCGCTCATTCATTTATTTTTTACAATATTGTTTGTAACTTTCTTTATGTATTGTATACTTTTATCTTCGAATAAATCTATAATAACATAAGCTGCAATATGAATTTTTCTAATCAATAAAAGCGTGATATCATTGAGTATTACATTTTATGCTATAAAAATGCAATACAAGCTGCAGAACAGTATTTTGATCGTCGCCAGCCTGCTCTACCTACTTTGAAGAGGCTGATAATTTGGGCGAGTTGGTTCTTTCTGTAAACCAACTAAAGATGCAAGACAGAAGTAAATGTATTAACACGAATCCATCAAGATGCATCGGTTTCACCACAAGTTGCATCTAAAGCAGTCACGTCAGAACGTAAGTGTTACAATTTGTTCCGGAACTCTGGGTAGCGCCTTTTAAAACACTTCTTATTGTTTTAAATGATTTATTTATTGTTATTATGAATGTGATTAATACGAACGAATTGAAACTATTTTAAACGAAGTATTATTCGAAACGAAGTAATGATGCGAGTTTATTCGAGTGTGTATTTCATTCAAGCACGTAGGCTCTTTTACAATATTTTTAAAACCAAAAAACTTGTATTTTAATACACAGAATTACAAAAATAAAATAAAATTATGTAGGCAACCCTACTTGCATTAAATACAAAATAATTCTTAACATGCCCCCCACCTTGAAAGGATTCCCTTTCAATGTTAAAGAGCAACAAAAACAAAAAAGAAAAGTAACATGTTCGAAAGAAAAATTGATAATTATATAACAGCAAATAAACAATAAAGAAAAATTAAATGAAATGAAATAAAATTTACTGCGCACCCTGCGCATGCGAAACTAACTTCAAGCAATTAGTTAACGGGTAACGGACAAAGTTTTATGGCAACTCGTTTACTTACACCGTTATGTGTACGAACGGAAGCCACTCTTGTTATACCATCCTTTCCCTTGTGGAGTTCGGTGATTCTTCCAACAATCCATTTTAAGGTAGGTAAATTATCATCTTTTACCACAACTAACTGTCCTTCTTGAAGGTCGACGGCGTCGCTTGTCCATTTGTGACGCCGTTGCAGTTCCACCAAATATTCACGCGACCAACGAGATCAAAAGTGTTGTTGGACCATTTGAATATGCTGGTAGTGTGAAAGCCGATTTAAACCAATATGGGATAAATTCGGATCCGGCAGTGAGGTAAGTGCTCGACCAATCAAAAAATGTGCGGGAGTTAGTAGTAGGGATTAAATCATTTGGATCGGATGATAGCGGGGTCATAGGTCGGGAATTAAGGATAGCTTCGATTTGAATGAGCAATGTATAAAAATCTTCAAATACAAATGAAACATTTCCCGCCACCCTTTTCAAATGAAATTTTACCGATTTCACCCCGGCCTCCCATAGACCGCCAAAATGAGGCGAGTTAGGGGGTATAAAGGACCAATTAAGCTTATTAGCGGTGATCATGGTTGTCAATTCATCAGAGTTCTCTAATAAAAATTTACCCAATCTATCTAATTCTTTACTCGCGCCTACAAAATTTGTTCCGTTATCGGAAAACATTTGGTACGGTCTTCCTCGTCTACTCACAAAACGCCTGAGTGCGGAAATAAAACACTCTGAACTTAATTCAGTCACCAATTCTAGATGAATCGCTCTAGTAACAAAGCACACGAATAGGCAAATATAGTACTTACTCATTTTTGATCCCCTACCCTTTCTATCTTTTAGGAGGAACGGACCTGCATAATCGACACCGGTTATGTAAAATGGAGGTGCTGGCTTTACTCTTTGGACAGGCAAGTTACCCATCGGTGGTTGCACAGGCTTCGGATATACTTGACAACATCGAATACATTCGCGAACAACCTTTTTCGCCAAATTTCTGCCTCCGATAGGCCAAAACCGCTCTCGTACGGATGCTAATAAATGCTGCGGACCGGCATGAAAAAGTATCTTGTGCTCAGCTTCGAAAATTAAACGACCCAATGCATGTTTACTCGCGATAACGATAGGAAATTTTTGATCAAACGAATAATCCGTGTTACTTCCAAAAATCCAAAAACGCATTTAAATTTGATAATCGACTCTTTTTTTGGAATGTTTTTACCGCGATCTAAATTTTCTAATTCTTCCGCGAATGCTTCATGCTGGCTACATTTAATAATAAATTTAAAAGCAATTTCTAATTCAATAGTTGTTTAAATAATATCTGGGTTTCTCTGGGTTGCACTGGTTGAAAAACTTCTTTCGTGAAAAATACCTTATTTTTATTTGTTTGCAACAGCCAAACATTGAAAGACGTGCGTTCGAGTTGTGAATAATTATATTTATATTTTTGTTTTTGTTTGTTATCGCGTTGACGACGAATGTCGCGTTGGCGACGAATCAATTTTTACGCCGTGCAACGGATAACTTGATAACGTTAGGGTAAATACATATAATAAAAAATATATAATTAATAAAATAACAAATAATTAACAATAGTTTTTAAAGGAGTAATAATTTTAGTTTTCCCCTTACAATTCTTTACAAACCGCAATACGTATGCGAAGGTTCTTTGCAAACGCTCCAAAGAAGAAAATCGTGAAAATTCAATTAAAGAATGGTTATTTAATTCTATTGTCAAAACATTTTTTTTTATTTCGGGAATATTTCCCATTCGAAATTCGCGAACCGGCCAGATGTTTTCATTTTTCGCAAGCCAATCTGGTCCGGACCAGTATTTACACAAAGAAGATAAATCTCGGGCATCGACCCCCCACGAAACTGGATCTGCCGGGTTATCGTTTGTTGGTACATATCTCCATTCATCGAAACGCGTTTGTTCTAATATTTTAGCAACTCGATTTCCTACGAACGTTTGTAGTTTAGTCGGCTCAGTAGACAACCAGCCCAATACAACACTGGAATCCGTCCAGTACGTTAGTCTGGTACCGTTTAACTTTAACGCCGTTTTTACTTTACTCATTAAATCCGTAAGCATGAGCGCACCCATCAATTCTAACCGCGGTACGGTAACTTGCTTTAATGGAGCTACCTTTGATTTAGCACAAACTAACCGAACAGCGACACCTTCTTCAACGCTGGACGTTCGAAGATATATACACGCGCCGAGAAGCCGTGCAATTCGAAATAATCTGGTTGCCGTAACGAAATATGGCGTGAAATACGAATGGAATTAAGACTGGTCAACTGCTCACGAAATTTGAGCCAACTCGTATGAATTTTATTTGGTAATGGATCGTCCCAATTTATCCCGGATTGCCAAATTTCTTTTGAATATAACTTTTGCGGAAATTATGACCGGAGATAAAAAACCGATGGGGTCGAACACCTGCGCAATGTCCGATAATATCGACCGTTTTGTAATTTTTTGATAAGACATTTCGGTAATTTTATATCTAAATTGATCATCCCCGGGGTCCCACAACAACCTCAGCGTTCTGGTATTCTCGTATCTACCAAGATCTACCAATTCTACGGATTGTGTAAATTCTCGAATTACTTGGGAACTATTCGTTGTCCATTTGGCTAGTTCAAAACCACCTTCACTCAATTTTGATTTTACCTGGTTAACGATTGAATTTAGCTCATCTATTGAATTAGCCCCCGTGAGCAAATCATCAACATAAAAGTGAGTGCCGATAACCTCAGCTATTACCGAATTCTTGCATTCATTGCTTAGTTCTTTCAGACAACGGGTTGCCAGATAACTTGCTGACGCAGTACCGTACGTGACCGTAAGCAACTCATAAGTGTCAATAGGACCCTGATCCGAATCACGCCAAAGAATCATTTGAAGCCGAGTTTGCTCTGGATTAACCAAACACGCGCGGTACATTTTACGAATGTCGGCGGCTACCACGTAGGTATATTTCCGGTATCTAATAAGTGCACTAAACAAGTCTGGTTGTATAGTGGGAGCAATAAATTGCAAGTCGTTAAGTGAAAGGCCTATTGTAGTGGGACATGAAGCATCAAAGACGACACGTAGCTTGGTGGTTAAGCTATTTTCATTGATTACACCATGGATGCGGTAAGTAATAGCAAGGATTTTCTATCGCCGGGTTTTCTATTTTGAGCATATGTCCCAAATCACGATATTCCTTCATAAAATTTCTATACTGTAGCTCGAATTCAGGGAATCTTCTAAATTTACGTTCTATGCTAAAAAGCCTATTTTCGGCACTTTTAAATGATTGGCCTAATTTACTTAAATCATCTTTAAAGAGGATTTTAACGATAAACAGACCATCAGATGCGCGCTGAGTGGTATCACAAAAATGTTTCTCGCATATTCTTTCATTTGCGGATGATAAAGGTGGACCTTGAAATGTTTCGACTTCCCACAAACGTTCAAGTTGTTTACTTACAATATCTTTATTTATTTGGTTAAAAAATACCGACCGTGTAGTTAAATATGATGCACAAGAAGTTACAGGCCCTGAAATTATCCACCCCAAACGGGTGTTTTGCATAGTTGGCCCATTAGTAAGCTTTATTTGCCCAACACATAGTAGACCCCAAAAGTAATCGGCCCCAATCAACATATCAATCTTATTCTGAACATTAAACAAAGGATCCGCAAGACGGAGATGTGTTGGAATTTGCAAAGCTTTCGCATCTATTGAAAAATTCGGTAAATCATTCGCGATTGTGGAAATAACAAAACAGTTCACTTTCCACGAAAAATCAGAAAAATGTGAATGTATTTTAAATGTGCATGAACCAGTTATTGTCGAATGATTTTGTTTTATGCTAGAAATGCTGTGTTCCTTTGTTTCAGATAACCGAAGTCTCTCACGGGTTTCTTGCGTGATAAAACTACTTTGACTCCCCGGATCCAGGAGTGCACGAAGCGAATATTTTTTGTTGTGACGATCGTACGCGTGAATGATAACAGTTGATAGTAGAAAGTTTGTTTGAGCGCTTGTTTGTGATGAAAGGTTTATGTTTGATGATTGCGTGGATGTGGATGCTTGTGGTGATATCTCCGGGGGGTTACGCTCGAAATGTAAAAGGGTATAATGTCGCGCCTTACATTTTTTGCATGAGCTTGACCGGCATTGTTGTAGGAAATAACCAGGACGAAGACAGTTAATACAAAATTTCAACCGTTTAATTTGCTCCAAACGACCTTGTACGGTGAGTTTTGCGAAGGTTGGGCATTCTTGTATATAATGATTATTTTTACAGATACCGCAAGATTTTATGTTCGAGTCGCTGGCAACAAGAAATGATTTAGGACGACTTGCTTTAGTATGTTGATTTGAACTTCAATCCAACGTTTCTAACAAATCCGCACGTTCCTTTAATACGTCTGAAAGTTGTCTAAATTAGGTTGAGCGACCGCTACTTTACGCTGCTCCCATTCGCGATTAGAACCGCTATCCATTTTTGTTGTCGCGAGGTAAATAATTAAGGTATCCCAATTGTCTGTGGGTTGATTTAGTGACGTTAAAGCTCTCATATGTTTCCGAATATTATCGATAAAATTGCGAATGGATTTAAAACTTTCGGGTATAGTTTTTTCTATGTCAAACAACGCTTTAGCGTGATTTTGTATTAACACCCTTGAATTATCGTAACGCGTGCGCACTAAACCCCACGCGACGTCGTAATTGGAGTTTGTTATTTCAAGGCTAGCGATAACCTGACGAGCATCACCGCTTAATGATGAGAGCAAATAATGAAATTTTTGAATTCCATTAATCGCGGAATTATTGTTAATTAATGATTCAAATATATCCCTAAATTCTAACCACGACCCATAATTTCCATCGAATTTTGGCAGATCTATAACCGGAAGTTTCACGTTCTGTTCAGGTGTTGGACCAACGATAAACGCCGAATCAGCGCATATTTCTCTATTCGTGAGCATGCGCTTTGCCTTTGCGATAGATGAGAAAAAAAGCCGCCTTAAATGAATCCCTTTCTCCTAATTGTGTCTCATCACCGTCGGCACTTAACCAATCGATATCCCCTTGAACCCCTTCAAATTCTTCGAGCAACTTACCGGCGCTATCATAACGCTCCTCTAATTCTATCGGCAACTCATGATCAACACGTTTTTCTTTCACCGCGGCCTCAAACTTCGTGACAAATTTTGAGAAATTAGTAAGTTTACCCTTGATCACGCTTCACTTTTTAATTAAACCCTCTAATTGACTCATAGTGAATGCGAAACTCTTTCAAATCGAATGAGGAGAAAAGAAATGGGGATAGGGACTTACAGCACGATGAGCAAAATGGAGTCGCTTCCGGTTTGGCTGGCACGTTGGTGGATTCCAATTATGGGCTGCTAGAATCGGCGTGGGTATTCGTTCTGGTGGCCTGGGTACCTTGATGGGTTCAGGGCGGCTTCCTTCGGGATGAATTGAGTGAATGATTTGACACGATGTAATTGATGAAATATGTAATGTTGAATCAAACTCCAAATACCAAATTTGATTTTTACTTCTTATTTCTCGATATTTTCAGACAATGTTAACGATGACAAATTCTTCCCCCAAATATCCAGCTCGAAGGACCATTAGATGTTACAATTTTTTCCGGAACGCTGGGTAGCGCTGGTTAAAACACTTCTTATTGTTTTAAATGATTTATTTATTGTTATTATGAATGTGATTAATACGAACGAATTGAAACTATTTTAAACGAAGTATTATTCGAAACGAAGTAATGATGCGAGTTTATTCGAGAGTGTTTATTCGAGTGTGTATTTCATTCGAGCACGTAGGCTATTTTATAATATTTTTAAAACCAAAAAACTTGTATTTTAATACACAGAATTACAAAAATAAAATTATGTAGGCAACCTTACTTGCATTAAATACAAAATAATTCTTAACAGTAAGAGAACTAAAAAATCATAGATTTCATTCAGATAAAATGGCAGTTTCCCAAACACTACCTCCAGATGACTACAATAAGCGTGTAGAATGGTTTATTAACATGTGTGAAGCTGATCATAGCTTAGATTAAAGTTTTGAGGACAGATTAAATACGATTTAAAAACTGCGGCATGTTTAATAGAAATAATCAACATTTATGGATGCAAGAATATCCGCATCATGTACAAGAGAGGAGACCTCAAGTTAAGTTTGGATTTAATGTTTGGTGCGGTGTCATTTGTTCAAGAATTCTTGGTCCGTACATTTTTTATGATACGTTAAACGGAGATCGTTATCTTCACTTTCCACAGAACGAGTTCGATAATATGTTGAATGAATTGCTCCTGCAGACACGTCATTTGCTTAAATGGTTTCGACACGATGGGGCACCACCACTTAATAAGCTAGCAGTACGAAATCATGGAAACTTACGTTTGCAAACGTATTTATCAATTGTTTCCATATCATACTACCTGAACAGTTTGCAAATGTATGTAAAGAAATCGAAACAGACCACGGAAAAACATATTGGCAAAAAATCAAAAAAGTGACAAAATACAAGAAAACCGGCGACATTCCAACGTTATATCATAACAACACAGAATATAGTACAGATCAACAAAAATGCCACATACTTGCCATTTCGAAAATTCCTTCACTCCCAATCCAAATAGTGACTACGATAATGAACACCAACTTTCTATAAACGAGTGGTACACAAGATTTCTGAATATATCCAAATACAAACATGATCAAATACCGGAAATAACCTCAGAAGAATATGACGAACATTTAGCCAAAGGAAAAAATTTATGCCCCGCATCTGATCTTATAACCAAGAAGTTACTCAGACAACTTAGCTTAGAAGTACAGAACGCAATCCGCAACATGTATAACTGCTGCATACAAAAATTCATATTTCAACCTATATGGAAGAAGGACATAGTTATTACAATCCCCAAACCTGGTGCTAACCACTCTCTGCCACAAGGCTACCGTCCTATCACTTTATTACCTGTGATCGGTAAAATGTTTGAAAGCATTATCAAATCTAGAATTATTAATGTCACAAATAACAAAATCCCTATACACCAATTCGGCTTCAGACCTAAACAATCCACAATCCACCCTTTAATTGTTCTCACTAACAACATTCAAACAGCCAAAATCCAAAACCGCGACTTTGTTCTTGGATATAAACAAGGCATTCGATACAGTTTGGCACCAGGATCTATTATTTAAAATGGGGCAGCTAGAAATTCCCGTACCATATTTAAAAATTATAGACGAGTATCTCTTCAACAGGACGTGGAACATCAGAGTTAAAAATTCCCTACCGTCCTCCTTCTCTACCCTCCAAGGAGTTCCGTAAGGATCCCCTCTATCACCGATCTTATACAATATCTATAGCTACGATATTTACCAACCAGACACTAATACAATAAACCCAGACATACTCCAACACACAGACGACACTACGTTAATAACACATGCTAAAAACATCCAAGTTGCCCTTGAACATCTGCAGCAGTTGTACAACAAGACGTCAGCATGGTTTAAAACAATGGAGAGTTTCCCCCAATCCGGATAAATTCCAGCTACTGATTCCGCACTCCAGAATACCCTGCCACACATCACGGCAGGTACATCGATTGTAAGCCATCAAAATTTTAAATGAAAAAATCTTTCTAGGCTTTGCAATCTTTGTCAGAAATATTTTTGACGTTTAAATGTCAGTGGTTTTCTTACTATTATTATTGTGGGGCGTAACTGCCATAGAGAAA